TGCTGCCTGAAGAAAAAATTTCGACGAGATTCCGTGTCACGTGCTAGCGCGTAAGGCACTTTTCGGCCAGTTTTTGACAAACGTCCTTCATGACAGTTTGGTCGTCCCGCTATTCCGAACATACCATACTATTTTCTTTTTTGAGAAGGTAACAAGCTTTGTATATATATTGACTGCATTAAAGGAAACAGTCACCCAATTTACAAAACAACACCTCAGCATTTCGCAAACCTTTCAATTTACTTTCTAATTTTTTCCTCCAGAAACAATACTACATGAGCAGTATTTAACTTACGAGAAAGGAACTTCACAACACGTCATAGGTCATCTTGCTTGACCACTTGAAGATTTAATCAAAGAACATAAAATGAGTTTTCACATACATTGACGTAGGGAAAGGCAAAGTACTTCATGAATCAAGTAAAAGGGAGCAAAACCTATTGTGCTCATGCCACGCATCAACGGACAACTGTTCAAACAATACCCACCCCCCCTCCAACCACCAAACTTTATTAGTAAGAAATATATATATTTTTAGCTGCTCCCAAAAATAATATCCAACAAAATGTATATTTTTTATATATGTGGATTATATGCAAAAATTATACATAGTTTATACACTTGCCGGCTAGCGAAATTAGTACCGGCCAGTTTTGTATTTTGCCCAACTTTATTTCTCCTATTGATGCATATTTTTCTTTTGATAGGTCCCGAGTACTGCCATCCATGGCAGATAATTTACTTGATCAAATCCTACACAGAATCTAAATACATACAACATAATAAAGATAACCAACTAGAAACTGTACTAAAGTATAGGAAGTAAGAAAAACCTTTCCACCAGCAGCAAGAACATCAAGCAGTAGTGTCTCGTCAAGTCTCTCTGCAAGATCATCTACAGCCTGCAAATTTGATGGGAAACAAAATTGAAGAAACATAAGTCTTTGTACACCTACTAAAATCATCACAAGGAAAAAAAACCAAGTAAAGCAAAATACTTCCACGAAATCTGGACAAAACAAAGATTAGCAGGGATGACAATCCCGACGACCAACCTTTACATATAATGACAATTTCATCTCAATCAGTGTTCCATTAACAACAAGCTCAGCTGTCCTCGCATTTGCAGCTCGAGGTTCAGCTATTTCCATTACACCATCACTTAGTTCTCCCAGTATGTTCATCGGAGGAGGAGCCTAAACCCAAAGACATGTAAAAAGGTACTGAGTTTAAGGTGGTTACAGGAAGTTAGACAAAGAAGAAACAGAAAACCAAAAGACACTATTAGTATATCATACAGAAGCTCGATAAGTGGCTTTTGTAAGTTCTCTCAGCCAAGTAGCCTTCGTCTCCTCATCACGGAACTCTATTATCATGGTGCTAGAGGACTCCAGAACCTAATGAAGAAAAGTAAAACACATGGAAGAACAAAAAAGCACTTGGACTCATGATGTAATGAGGAGATTAAATACATAGCAGGAAGAAAAAAAGAAACACATTGGTTGTGGTACAACAAAATTTACAATAATTTAGAATAGATGAGAAAGAGCCATGTTACTCATCCTGTACATGCAGGAACAATCAGGGTTGAAGGACTAATGTAGCCACATCCATTAGGTAAGCCAATAGCTAAACTACCAAGGCTTGGTTGCGATCATGGAAATATCTTATTGGAAAGAACCCTTGCTTGTCCATGATATAAGGTACTTCAGCTCTCCTTTATGGCAATCCCAACATCATATCTGCTTTCATTTTAAGGAAAGTTTTTAACACTTTAAAAGTTCCAAGGGACCATTTATACAGTTCTCAAACTAACAATATATGTATGTATGATCTTCCAGGTTCTCCCAACAAAAAGAAAACCATCACGTTTTCAACTTTTTTCCTAACAAAGTGTATCCAAACCCCAAAGTAGGTAATTTTTTAATTATAATCGACCTGAAAAGCTTGTGTGTTAAGCCCTGACCCTGCTTGTTCATTGAAAGAAATTAAAGCAATGAGTTACAAAGAAGGAACGGGGTTTGCCATACCTCCTAAATACAAGCCCACTCCTCTACATTTTGAGCCTATGCAAAAGACCTACGCGTATTAATTTCCTAAACCTAACCATGCATAGAAAGCCCTACATATGAGAAGATCATTAAACAGTTACAAGATAGATATGAAATATGTAACAATATCCTCTGAGAAATCCAAGCAGCTAATCTTGAATTTCTTTCTGGGGAAAAGTGACCATCATGGCCGCATTGCTCATTTGCTCTTTGCACCCAATACGGCCCTTCTCTTCTAGTATTCGTACTGATCTAGGCCCGTGCTGATAAATCCTTTTCTTTGTCTTATTGATTTGTTTACCATTTCCCTCATTCGTCATTTTCTTGGAGATTGAAGAGCCACGATTCTGGTGCAATGATTCTATTCTTCTATGAAAGTGTATAAACTCGTGCTCCCTTCATTTCTTTACGCATAACTCCTTTTTTTCTTGGTGTAGAGACTAGAGGGGTCTCGAAACAAAACAACCATTGCCCAAACATTTTCTCGGACTTCCAAATTGCGTAAACCAATTTCCATTGAATTATAGGATTTTCTTCAAAGATGGTTTTCCTCGCAAAAGATCTCTCTTTAGAATTACTTGATTGTTTAATAGTAAGATGTTCCTTTCTCTGAGAACTTCCATCGGGCAATAGGTTACGCGTTGTCTTACTCTTAATAGGTTACGCGTTGTTTTACTCTATTTATTTTAGGCCTTTATCAAATATTGTCTATGCACCTTTAGTCTCCACATTTTCTCTTGATTCTTGATTTCCCCACCTTCCAACCTTTCTTCCTCCTATACTGCATTTTCACAAGTATGTGCAAACTCATGCATTTTAACAAGAGTATGCATGGTCATCTATGCGTGAGGACAGGATTTCAATGAGGAGACTTGCATACCTTCTGCAGATCCATTCCTCTGGCGCTGATGCCGATACAGGAAAAGGTACCTCCGATATTGGCAGGAGGAATTTCAAGTACTTGCTTACCAGCCATGCTATAGGGTTCACCACATCAAAAACAGGTTCAAGACAACTTCCATATCAAGGAGGTGAAAGAAACAAAGCAGAGGATAAAAGTATGAAGACAAATATGAAAAATCTTAAACACGCACCTTGAGCATCTAAGATAACTGTGGGACAGCTCAGAGTCCAATGCATAAAGATATAAACCAGATAACACAAGATAACATGGTTGCCATGAAGCAACTGAGTAGCCAATCCCCTAAATCAAGAAAACAAAGTAAAGTTAACAATATTAAGCCATTGTTGATTCATATAGTGGCTGCAATTCACACAACACCTACATACCCTCCAAACAAGGATCCGAGCCTCAATTGCAAGATCAGGAGGATACCAAGGGGCATATTCTGGTGGGAGATTTTCAATAGCAGGCTGCTCGGTATCTGGCGTTGCTCGGTATAATATGTCTAACAACTCCATCAGCCTGCGATATCTCACTGGCGAAAAGTGAAGGCCAAAATTGGGAACTTGAACAGAAACACGCATTGACGGATGGCCGGGATGAGGCACCTTAATCTTCCACCAAAAAAAAAAGGATAAACAGTAACAAATTAAGCAAGCACAAGAACAAAACATCAGAACCCAACTTCTAATTAAACACTAGAGATCATGACATTAAAACAAAAGAAACTACTTTACTACTTTGTACCTGATCCACAATAACAGCCATTCCACACTTATCAACAAGAGAGCATAAGTTCTTGGCATCTTCCGGGTTATGATATGCCGAAGGCTGACATGACAAACTGCAAGCCTGATCATCAGAACCGCAATCTGTAAAAGAAGCTGCTATGTCCCTTCCGGAGATATAAAAACGAGAATACAAACTTTGGTTCTGATCACCCAGTAGGCCATCACCCTATATCCAAGACATGTATGTTAATAGGTTAGGTGAAGTATTTTTTTTATAAGGTAAATTATATTAATCAAAAGGGAGAAAACTCCCGTATACAAGAAGTATACCAAAAAGTATATAAAAACAACTTAACTTCTTGAACATTACATACCTTGGTATGTAAAGTAAAATGACCCAAATCCAAAAGAAGATGGCAATCACATTGGGAGGAGCCACGTGGTCTAACAGGAACTCTAACTTTTGGAGCATCGAGATCAATGTCAAGGGCAAATCTGAGAAACGAAGTTATCAGCACCAAAGCATAATCCAGTCCAAGATGCAAACACCCAAGAAGCAAGAAACTAAATCATAAGAACCGAATTGTCAGTCACATGCAGTGTTATTAAAAGCCATTGTTTCATTGCTTAAACCGATGTACCAAGGGGTCATTGCTTCATGCATGAAGCTATGCACTTTGGAGAAGTGTGCGCTTCAAACAGTAACGTCCAAATTGATCCCAACGAGAAGCAGTCGATTCTTTGAATCTCAACTTTGAGGAGTTGGATTAATATCACCATTATCACAAATGGAATCCCAAAATTACTTATTTTAATTGCAAGTTGATTATTATAGTACTAAATTCTTATAGGTCTGGTACTTTTTAATTTTCCATAACTCTTTATTGGCAAAGTAATAAAATTTCATTAAAAAAAAGGACAAAACACGCCCGTATAAAAGAAAGTATACCGAAAAGTAGAAAATCTTACAAAAAAAGATGTGGTATTCTACTAATGACACCCAATCTTCAATACATATAGGAACCTCGTCGGTGTACTAAAAAGAAATAAGGGATAAGAGGTTATTCCTCAAGTGTACATAATCATTCTACTCCATCAAAAGCCTCCTATTTCTCTCCTCCATACGATCCATGTGAGAGCTAGAGGGGAAACATCCCATGTCCTCATTCTTCTCTTCCGTCTTAAAAAGGTCCGGCTAATCATTATTTTTTTAGTACTGCCTGGCATCACTTTAGAATTCCAAACAATCTAAAAATATCTCCCACCGCGAACAAGTTAGTATCCGACAATCTAAAAGGATGGTAAATCACATTCCTAAGTTTTTACCCATGAAGCACCACACAAGTCATCTTCTCCTTTCCTCAAATTAGTTGTAGTCAAGAACATCCGCCTCGAAAAAGGCCAAAAAAACACACACATTACTCCATACCTAGGGGATCCATATTGAGATATGTGGAAAAGCTGACTCCTCCCTAATAAGAAGCTTCTCATAATAGGACTTAACAGAAAAGACACCATTATCTATTGTCCTACAGCTCCATGCATGGCTAAAATGTGTAATTTTTTATTTGTCAAGCAATTCAACCAAGTTTTGTAACCTCCCAATCTTGTATGTTCCCCTTAAATATTAAATCTCAATGCACTTCACCCATTGTAGACGACTAGACATTGTATCAGTTGGAATGTCATCTCCTTTTGACATGAGATTCTATACATGTTTTGAGATGTGATTCTCAAAATATTGTACCCGCACACCTATGCGCCCAAATCACTCCCCTCCAAAAGGCATTATCTTATACCCCAACTCTCAATAACCACTTTCCAAGAATGCCTTGTTAAAAACCCTTAAATCTTTAATCCCAAGTCCACCACAACACTGTGGCCTGGTGACAGTCGCCCAATTTACGAAGTGACACTTCCCTGTGGTGATGACTGTAGCATGTAACGATGACATAAAATATGTGGGGCCTCTTTTCTACCCTATCTATCACAAGGTTCCAAGTTGCTTAGTCCTTGTTAGATCCTCCTAGTGGTAAACCAAGATAGGTCGTAAGAAGAGCCCCAACATCGCAATTTAACACATGTGGTATGACCTCAATATTCTCCACCTCACCAACTGGAACGATCCCGCATTTATCCTAACTTGTGAGTTTCACTTCTCTCTTTTTGCTTCAAGATCCATGGACATTGTCAGCTTTTTGCACTTTTCGATTTTACATACACCAATCACATGTCCCTTCTATTATGTATTTTTGCAACTTGCTTTTGAACTAGTAAAAGATCTGAACAGAAGAGAAGCCTACTAGTTGCCAATGCAGTTTAGAGGCCCAGTTGAATATTCACATAGGGAGTATTTAAAGAGCTCTATGTTGCAAGACTTGAGTTCACAATCCACATAAATGAATAGAGAATTATTTCACTTTCATGGAAGCGTGCTTTGGAAACCACGTGAAACTTCTTCAATTGTACATTTTCTTTGTCAATAGGGTGACTTGGTCTACAAAATGGAAAAATGAATGAGAAACGGATGACTAAAGATGGGTGTTTGATGATTAATCACTTTTAAGGTTCTTGTATATTACACCTCAAGGAATAACCAAATTATATCTGGTTGTGATAACTATTTTGTGGATCAATCACTTGTCAGGTTAAATAAAAAATAAAAAAAAACGTAGCGGCAACTTGCTTTTAACCTATCATAGATCCAGAACTGCAACACAAGCTTCCTAAGATTTTAGAATGACAGTTTCATACGAAGAAAGGGAGATTTCTTGAGAGTTCAGTACTTTGATTATTCGCACTATCGTGAATGTATGGCCAACTAGATGAATGCTCATTCCTTCAAATTTATAGATTTTCTTCACAATTGTATTCATGAAAGAGCACACAACTTAGAGAATTAAGGCTTAACATTTGATAAGTCCTATTAAATTGTGAAAGACAACTACAGGAGAGAAACAACGTGACCTCCCACCATAATTTTAAGTACCTCTCCTGTCAACATCCTTTCTAGTTGAATACACCATAGAAGAACCTTCAGAATTCCTAGTGCTCCTCGTTCAACTCTGCCTTTGATTTCTTCTTATTTTCTAGTCTCTGCTACTTCTCCTCTTCTTTTTATATATTAAAAACAACACTTCCCAAACTCCTCTACCCAGGAGTCAAAGAACAGCTTTTACCATTTTGGTCCCTTGGTGGCACCAAGCCACCAAACTTCATGGCTAGAGGTGGAGTGCTCCTTCCACTAGGCAATCCTCCTTTGTTATTTTCAGGACGAAGAGGATGTCGGACGGGTGGAGGTGGAGTACGGTGGTTCCGTTGTACAAGAACAAAGGTGACATCCAGAGATGCAACAACTATAGAGGTATCAAACTATTGAGTCATACCATGAAAGTGTGGGAGAGGGTAGTAGAAGCGAGGGTGAGGAGGACGGTGTCTGTATCAGGCAACCAGTTCGCATTCATGCCGGGCCGTTCTACTACGGAAGCTATCCACCTCATTAGGAGGTTGGTGGAACAGTACAGGGATAGGAAGAAGGATCTGCACATGGTGTTTATTGATCTAAAGAAAGCGTATGACAAGGTTCCTAGAGAGGTTCTTTGGAGACGCCTAGAGGCTAAAGGTGTGTCGATTGCTTACATTAGGGCGTTTAAGGACATATATAATGGAGCTAAGACTCGGATTAGGACAGTGGGAGGCGACTCCGAGCATTTTGCGGTTGTTATGGGGTTACACCAAGGATCTGCGCTCAGCCCATTCCTGTTTGCTCGGGTGATGGATGCACTGACACACCATGTTCAAAGAGAGGTGGCATGGTGTATGTTATTCGCTGATGACATTGTTCTGATTGACGAGACACGGAGTCGCTGATGACATGGTGTTCTGATTGACTTGTCCCGTTACAGATTCACCAGATTTATTACATAAACGGTTAGGACATCCCAGTTTGCCAAAACTTCAGAAAATGGTACCTGGCTTATCTCACTTGTCCACTCTAGAGTGTGAGTCGTGTCAGCTCGGTAAGCATACCCGCTCCCATTTCCCACGGCGTCTTGCTAATCGAGCAGAGTCACCTTTTACTTTAGTCCATTCAGATGTTTGGGGTCCTAGTCGAGTTAGTTCTACCTTAGGATTCCGCTGCTTTGTCAGTTTCATTGATGATTATTCCAGGTGCACTTGAATATTTTTGATGAAAAATTGATCTGAGTTGTTTTCTATTTTCCAGACCTTCCACACTGAAATTCAAAATCAATTTGGGATTTATATCCGCACATTTCGTAGTGATAATGCCCTAGAGTATTTGTCTTCCCCATTTCAGCAATTTATGAACTCCCATGGGATTATTCATCAAACATCTTGTCCGTACACATCCCAACAAAATGGGGTAACTGAAAGAAAAAATAGACATCTTATTGAAACTGCTTGTACTCTACTCATACAATCTCATTTGGTGTCTTGGAAGAGCAAGAAACAGAATGTGGTTGCTCGGTCTAGTGCAGAAGCAAAATATCGAGCAATGGCTATGGCCACATGTGAGCTAATTTTGATCAAACAGTTGCTCAAGGAGTTGAAATTTAGTGAGATTAGTCAGATGGGACTTGGGTGTGATAATCAAGCTGCTCTTCATATTGCGTCAAATCCAGTGTTCCATGAGAGAACTAAACACATCGAGATTGATTGTCACTTTGTTAGAGAAAAGATACTCTCGGGGGATATTGCTACAAAATTTGTGAAGTCGAATGATCAGCTTGCTGATATTTTCACCAAGTCTCTCACTGGTCCTCGTATTAGTTATATATATAACAAGCTCGGTACATATAATTTATATGCACCAACTTGAGGGGGAGTGTTAGTTTCATTGTATGAATAGTAGTAAATAACCCTAATCCCATAGGTATTAGGAGTAGGACATGTATTGTATATATAGGGCTCATTGTATCATTGTCAATTAATTAATCAATAATATATTTTCTCCCATGCATTCTCACAGATATTAGATATGCTTTTAACCCTATCACTCAGAATGTTAAATGCCAAAAAAGAATAATGCATAGCCCTCATGTATCAGGCACCAGATTTCTTTATGTTAGAGTGAGGAAATAATGGCAAAATCAAAAAACAAATTAAGCAACCTGCTTTGCTTCTCGAGTACCATTTGAAATTGCTCCTGCGCTCTGCGAGTCATCTTTTCAATCTTATTCTGCATTAGCAACATTAGCTTCATTAACAAAATGTTACATTAATATGGCAGTAAAAATGATATTCAGGATATTCAAAAAAATCACCTGTAACACAGTTGCAGTTTCTAATGCTACAGTAGGGCTAACAGCATTGCTCCTTTTCATAAATTCTAAAAACCGGTCATAGGTTTCCCTGAAAACCTGTCAAGTAATTTTGAAAGACAAAGTGATTTCAGATTTGTTTGATATTCAGATGCAATACCAAAAACACAAATCAAAGAGCCAGAAAAAATCTTGACATGAGAACTGACACAATTACCTATGCAAAATTGTGAATTAGACATGAAATCCAACACATAATTATTATATTGGGTGCAGTTTATATTTTTTTTGGGACAAGTATGTCCCTAAACTGAGCACAACTGTCCTATTCTGGAAAGCAGAGGCATAACAAATAGGTCGAAATAATTTTGACAAGTATATAGGATTCCTAGTGTAACTAAAATAAAAGCTTTAAAAAAAAACTAAGGCCCAAGGCGATCACAGCTTTATTGGGGAAGTGGCTGTGGAGATTCGGGGTAGAAGAGCATGCTCTATGGAGGGAGGTCATAGTAGAGAAGTACGATTCCACGGGAGGGGGTTGTAGGACCAAGGCGAGCACAGCACCTTTCGGGTGTGGCATGTGGAGGAGCATCATGAAGAATTGGGAAGCCTTTAATGGCAACATCACTTACAGGGTGGGAGATGGAAGGAGAATCAGCTTTTGGAATCATAGGTGGTGTGAAGAGGATACTCTGAGGGTCTCTTTCCCCACGTCTTCAGAGTTTCAAACCAGAAGGAATTGATGGTTCAACAGATTCGCAACGAGCATGAGGGGGGGGGGGGGTAGTATGGGACATCTCATTTAGAAGGAACATGCAAGATTGGGAGATTGCGAAGCTCCAAGATTTGTTGGCACGACTATATGGGCAAGACAGGCCCCAGCCATCTTGTGATTCTTGGAGATGGGGGTTGCATGGCGATGGTTTGTTTACTGTAAAGTCCTTTTACCAGAGTATGTTAGTGAGAGAGGAGGCCATTTTTCCATACTCCTCGATCTGGATTCCTAAGGCGCCCATGAAGGTGTGCTTTTTTGCATGGCTAGCGGCGAGAGGAGTGATCTTGACTACTGAAAATCTGCGAAAGAGAGGAATTACACTTATTAGTTGGTGCTACATGTGTAAAAGCTCGGGGAAGAAGTTGATCATCTTTTGTTGCATTGCCCTGTGCCCTCGGGTTTGTGGAGGGCAGTCCTGAATCTCTTTGGTGTTCAATGGTGATGCCAAGCACTGTAAAGGAAATGTTATATAGTTGGGCAAGTTTTCGTAGAAGAAGAAAGCAAAAGGCATGGAAGTTTGTTTCGTTAGCTCTCATGTGGATAGTTTGGGGGAGAGAAATAAGAGAGCTTTTGAGGGGATTGAGTCTCCTTTTTCACATCTTAAGAATAGACTTTTATCTTTGATCGCTTTTTGGTGCACTCATATAGCCCCTACTTGTATAGAAGATTGGGCGTCATTTGTAGAGAATCATGTTCCGAAGTAAATTCTCTACTTTTTGGTATACTTCTTGTATACGGGAGTTTTCTCCCTTTTGATTAATACAATTTACCTTATCAAAACAAAAAAAACTTGAGGCCACGAACATTAGAAATTGACCTTAACTCAATGATGATAGCGAAGACAGAATTAAGCATAACCGTTCCTTCCATATCAGATCTGAATCCTAATTGGAGAAGAAGACGAATCCCATTTGAAGAAAAGAACCTAAATGTCGGTNCCCCCCACCCCCAACTTCTGCTGCACCAGGATATTTTTACCAGTTCTCAGCTTTTCTATTACTGTTGGTTGCTGCAAATTGTTTTCCTCCTATGCTGCATTATGATGCATTAGTTTTTTGAGCCATGTTTTGCAGTGTACTTGTTTGGTATTTGGTGCCAATTTGATGATTTATTTAAGATCTATGGATCACAAGATATATTAAAATGTTTTTTTTAGTTGTTGTGGCAGCTAACTATGTTGCTCGGATACGGGTGGGGATCTAGAAGTCAGATAGGTCATCACCTAAATATTAGGATCCGGGGATACTGATAGGAGTACAGTTCGGGGGAGCTGATACGACCAATAAATGTATAATAAGACGTATATAAGTTATATTTTGATTATAGTAAAAAAAAATTATTAATGATTGTGCAAAAAAGCATGCACGCGTACAAAAAGAATACCAAAAGGTAGAAAACCTACAAATTTATTACGACATATATAAGTATATTTCGATAATTAATTGAAGTTATTGAGCCAAAAGTAATATAATGAAATTCTAAGCACTTAGTATTTTATTCCTAAGATATCTCATGTGATAGCAAAGCCTTCTCACACTTAACATAAATATGAATGACATAAATCCAAAACCAAACCAAATATCTAATCAACCTATACTTCTTGGCCATAGGTGTAATCAAAGAAACCAAGGTAAATAGACCAAATCTTGTGTGGATCCAACACCCACACTCAAATATCTGATCAACACGGGTGCGACAAGGATTTTGAAAGATCCGAGCAATATAAGCAGTTACTATTATTTTTTAGGGGTATTTTATTGGTTCACACAAAATAAATTACATACATCAAGTATAATGTTATGCCCAAATAACATCAAGTACCCCTAACTTAAGAAATTCCCTGTCCCCTTAAACTTCATTTATGCATATGTACCCAACACAATCCTATATCTGAACGGTTTAGATAGCTAGTAGATTTTTGTAGTTATGAGTGTATTAAATTTCAGGGAACAGAAATCCATCATTCGGATCAATATAAAAACATTTCAAAACAGACATGTAAGACAGTGTCCTTCCAAGTCAACTTTCATACTATTCTGATTGAGGGCACTTTCAATGATATTAATATACCTATCTCAATCTGGAGATAACGGGAAAAACTCAGTTTAACGAATGAGACAAAGGGATTCATCATATACTGTTCGTTCAAAAGCACTATATGCTCCATCGGCCACGCTATTACTAATTAAAGGCAGTCTGGTGCACTAAGCTCCCGCTATGTGCGGGGTCCGCGGAAGGGCCGGACCACAAAGGTCTATTGTACGCAGCCTTATCCTGCATTTCTGCAAGAGGCTATTTCCACGGTTTGAACCCGTGACCTCCTGGTCACATGGCAGCAACTTTACCAGTTACGCCAAGGCTCCCCTTCGGCCACGCTATTACTATTGCAAAACTAAAATTCCTTTTTTCCTTCCCAAACAATACTTATTAATATATCAAGGTAAACTCAAAAGAAAAAGCACCTAAAGGGTCCGGCGTTAATTCAAGTTTCAAATATGGGGGAAAAGTGTTCTTTATTTCAGGGGAAAAATCTTTTGAGCTTGTTAACATCGGAGATGCCCACACTAAATGGTTTTCTTTTACAGAGCGTGGCAGGAGATTTACAACTAGCATCAGCATCGACGAAAACAATCTCATGTGGGTTTGTGATGCTATGAAACAAGCATCAAAGGGGAGAGGAGATCTATACAGAAGATGGGGGAGGAAATAAGAACAATATCTTTACAGGGTATATCAAAATTACAATATATATGGTAGATATTTAAGAATAGAAGCCTGGCAGGGAGATAGGAAAAAAGCGGTGATTGTCCCGGAAGCAGAATACAACAGCGGATGGAAGGAGATAGCAGAAAAAATCCTACGCTTTGTTGGGAATCACAGAAGAACCATCCCTATACAACCACCACCTCAGGACAAATCTTACTATGATGCCGCCAGAATTAAGAGCTGGCCAGATCTCACCACGATCACTCCTGCTCCATCATCAGTCGAGATCAACCACCCATTAGCCAGAAGCTTGGTTGGAATCTTTAATGATCCTTCCAATTTCAGCCCAGATTGTGAAACCATCCAAAAGTGGTTCATATCTAGATGGAGAACTGCAGCCTGCCTCAAAGTCACCCCATGGAGCATAATAAATTTCTTTTCAAATTTCCTTCAGGTGAATGGTTCTGGAACGGCAGACGCCTTTCTCTGGAATGGTGGTCACCAACAACGGGCACAATCTCGGACAGAAGTAGATCGGAAAATTTTTGGGTCAAAGTCTTTGGGATCCCTCTACATGCTTGGACATTAGACTCCTTTAAAAACATAGGAGATCGGTGCGGTGGATTTATCGGAATAGATGAAGACACAAAAAATAGAACACACCTCTATTGGGCTCGGATCTGTATCAGAAATTCCGGCAAGAAGCCACCGGCGACTATGGTCTTCGAAGTTGGGGATTGGAGCTATGAAATTACAATACTTCATGATACCCGGTCTCACCCAAAACCCACCAGTCAAAAACCAGTGTTGGGTACAGTAGCTTTCACAAAAAGCCGGTCTCTGCAGTCGCTTGTGACATCGCTTCCACTAGTCAGTCAATGAGGGCCCACGAGAAGGGGACAGACTTTAATTCAAAAAATGTGGAGCACCCAGCTTCAGTTGGGGAAAACTGGCCCAGCATAAACCAATTAAAAGGAGGGGAGAAAAAAGGGAAGCAAAAGTTGGACCTAAATATTGGGTAATATGCTAAAAGCCCAAAACTGGCCAAGAACAAAAAATTCTCAAAGCCCAAACCAGCCATTTATTGGAGAGCAGTTGGTTGCACATATGACCCTTGTCTTCACAAAGCTTCAACAGTGCAATTATAAAACCAATTCGACCCACTCTCGGAGGAAATACAAGCGTTAAACCACACTGCCTCAGACAAAATTCTTCACCCCCCAATCTGATGCTGATGATGAAGCAGAAAGAATTAGCCCTAATTTGTCAGAATTGATCATGCAATCAGTATCTCCAAGGGTTAGCGGCTCGGATTCAGATTTTTCTTCTCTGTCTTTCAACAATTTCCTCCCTCTACAAATGATTCGTCAAAATCATGCATGCAAATGGTGGACACTCCTATAGTGGTGGAAACCTCAAGATGGACGAAGATGGCTCTTTTGAAAGCTTGCAAAGCATTCGGGGTACATACTACAGGCTTTGAATCAGACATTATGGGGCTAATCCTTAGAATGGAGGAGAAAAGGAAAATCCAATTGCAACAACAGGCAAATACAGAAGCGGAGTCAAAAAAAGGGAAGTCTAAAGGGGTTCAGAGCTTTAAGAAATTGCCTTGGGG